CTTTGCATGTTGGCAGGTGTCTGTAAGGACAAGCCCTAGGGCCACAGTGCCCCTGCTCTGAAGGACATCACCATAGCAGTGACATCAACCTGTGTGTGCATTGCATCTCCACCCCTGGCCAGCTCCTCTCCCGCTCGGTGGGCTCCCCCCACCCAGCCTGTAATTGGTGTGAGCTGGGGGGTCAGGGTGAACCGGCGCGAGCTTCCTCCTTACCCTCGTGGGCTCTGGGAAGACCTGCTGCTCACAGACGGTGTCTGGAGCTGGGGTGAAAGTCTGCTGAGTGCTTTCTGTCCCCCTGGGGGCTGAGCTCATCTAGCCTAGTGGCTTCAGGGTGGCCCATTTCAGTTCCCCTACCAACCCCCTGCCCTGGTTCTTGTGAGTGTCCTGCCCTGGTGTGGCCCCCTGCAGCCCCCGATGGACCTGAGGTCCAGCCAGTGTGTCCCACACGCCCTCCCAGTTGAGACTTTGGTCATCCACCCAGGCCGCATCGAACTGGGGGATCTGGGGCACTCCTGTCCTCTGCTCGCCCCCACTGTCCTGCCTCATCTCTGTCTCCAATATGGTGCGAATTCCTCAAAACAGAGCCAGTCTCCATCTTAACACGGGGCACTCAGAAATGGATGGCCATCGAGAGACACGGTACATGGAATTGGCAAGATGACAGGGCAGGCTCTTCCTTGAAGAGATGAAAAATAATTTTTGTAGGATCTGGTTACACATAAGTCCGAAGCTGATGTCGAATAAGCAAGAGCGCTTTCTGTAGTTAGGATAGTCCTTATGGTCATCGCTTAAAATGACTTTGCGTTTTGTTCTTAAGTCGTCTTAACCGTGAGCAACTTGTGGGCTCTTCAGGTTGTTTGCAGGTTTTCTCCATTAACCAGAAGTTTGTGTGTAACATCTCCGTGTGTATCCGTTTCTCACATTTCCCGCCTCTTGGGGTAGATCTTCAGGAGATCTAATGCCCACTTACGAAGCACCATCCTCGACACCTCCTGCCAAATGCTCGCACCATTTTTTGTGCGGGTCCACTCTGCCCTCTGGTCAGCTGCCCACACTTGACCGTGGTGGGTATGCCATTTCTAGAATGTTTCATTGATTTTGCCGGTGAACTAAGTATCAACTGCTGATCACTAAATTTTGAAGAAGAGTTTTCATGAAAGTGGGTGCTTAAAACCCAGTCATTGGCTGCCTATCAAAGGAAGCCAGCATGTACCTACATTTTCTATAAATAATCTTGAGATGCTATTTTTATGCTCTGCCCTGTAATTATGACATCAAATTATACTATGGCTGTCAACATGCTTTACACAAAACACATTTAAAACTTTGTTTTAGGAACAAAACCATCTACTAAAATATAAATGGAAACATGAGCATAAAAGAGCGATGAACAATGAATTTCCTCCAAACAGCTTGAAATAATATCGAAAGCTTGGTCTCATTTTAAACACAACTGCGTGAGATTTCTGGAATGGATTTCACAGTTCTTTGAAACGTTCCGTTCTTACATTTTAGCACATGCACAAACACCCACATCAGAAATGTCACAGCGAGAGCAAAGGAATCAAGGTGCAAAAATAGTGTTCTCCAAGAGTCCTCCAACACAAACATTACCACGCTTCCCTCAACACTTATTTTTTGCTCAAAGAACTCCTTTGGGGAGAAATCTGGGAGACTCAGACTCGATTGCACGTCACAGTGCTTTGCTGCATTGAACAGTGTGTGTTTTGTGAATCACTGTTGGGGACTGGGCTCTTCTGGGTGTTAGTGGTGCCCTGAAATAGGGCTATCCTTCTGCATCTGAGTATTTTCTGCTCACTTATTTTGGCTTCTTTGGATGGAAGGCAGATGATCTGGGGGAGCACAAAGATGCAGGTGGCCTTCCTGGGGACCCTGGAGGCATGGCTGTCCCCTCCCACCCAGGGGGCTCTGGTGCCACACCAGCCGGCCACGCCATGCCACGGAGCAGTGCTCTGCCATGTGTCTCCAGAGTAACAAACTGGGCTCTCGGCTCAGTCCCCAAGTTTCCCGGGAATGGGAGGAGAACAGCAAGAGCTAGAGGGGACATGCGTGTCTGGTGAGTGAGTGCCTGCTCCTCAGACCCTTGCCTTCGGGTTTCTGTGTTTGTGAAGTGCGGGGGGTCTATCTGATGACCTTTCATGCCCTTCCCTGCTCTGCCTTCCCAGCATTATCTTACTCTTTCAATACTGAAGTCTCTGCTATTTCTTTACAATTTTTTTTTTTTGTGGATTTGCATGGGGACATGGAAATTTTTTTTAAGATTTTATTTATTTATTTGATAGAGAGAGACACAGCGGGAGAGAGAACACAAGCAGGGGTAGTGGGAGAAGGAGAGGGAGAAGGTTCCCTGCTGAGCAGGGAGCCTGATGCGGGGCTCGATCTCGGGACCCCAGGGTAATGACCTGAGCCGAAGGCAGATGCTTAATGACTGAGCCATCCAGGCGCCCCCCAGAATGGATCATTTTAATTTGTTCATGTGTTTTACAAGCAATTTCTGCTTTGTAAGAGGCACCGTGTGCGGGCATGTGACTTACAACACTGGTTGGGTTCCTGTCCCAAAAAGCTCATGGCTTCATAGGGGAACAAGAGCCCCAAACATTACTTTGGCAGAATGTGGTGAGCTCACTAGGAAATGCATGAGTATGTTGTAGGAGTGCTGGGAAGAAAGCATCCAGCTTGGCTCCAGTGTCTCGGATCCTCGACCAGGAAGCGTTTGCAGGGAAGGTGGATACAAAGGCCAAGTTGGAGATAGTATAATGGGCTGACTTCTCTTGGTGGACATTTTGGCTATATTGTTACATTTGGTTGTAGTAACATTTCGTTACTATAAATGATGCCATAATAAATACATACATATATATATATATATGCACACACATTTACCTCTGTATCCACATCTACACCTGCGTCCCCTCCTCCAGATCTCTCCAGGGTCATTCATCCCTCTGCTTTCTCAGATTGTTCTGATTTTCCCATTTCTCCTTTTCTGTTCAATAGTTTTGGTCTTCATAACCACAGGGAAAAAAAGAAAATGGTGGGATTTTCGGGGCAAAGCGCTGCCCCCAAAAGTCCATTTTGATGGAAGATAAATGGATAGCAGATGTTCCAGGAAAAATCCGAATGTGAAATATTTGAAGTCTAGGATGTGTTAATAGTTTAGGCATTTTCCTGTTCCTAACACGCCGGCCGCATGGCGGGAGTGGATGTGTTTCTGACCCGCTGTGACTTGTCCTTAGCCCATTCCTCCCCGGCCACCTTAGGGACACAGAGATCGTGGCCCCAGGGGTTGTATGTGGCTGGCTGGGACAGTGTGGTCACCTGGGGCACAAAATGCAAATCGGAGGCTCTGAGGATCTTGCATTTGAGTAGCTGACATACTCAGCTGTGTGAGATAAGTCAACGTCGTCAGCAGGTCTCACCCGAGGAACACTGAAACATTGTTGGTCTTCAACAAAGATCAGACCAAAGCATCTCTCTTGCAGTGCTTTCGGCAGTAAGAAGTTAATGTACACGTAGTGTGAAATCTCTGCTTTTGAGTCCTGGAATCGCGTGTGTGTGTACGTGCGTGTGCGTGCGTGTGTGTGTGTGATCTGGGAGTCCAACGGTGAGAGTCTCGCCCACTTTAAACGACTGGCATCTTCACTGAGCTGTTAAATCTCATATCCCTGCCAAGACCCAGCTCTGCCATCACCAAGGCCCCTGGTGTCTGCTTTCGTGAAGCCCCGGGGAGCACACACACTTGCTGGTGGAAGTCATCTCGGTGTCCCCAAGACCCCGCCAGAAATAGGCTTCTCTGGTCCAGGCTCAGAGCAGCGTCTGGGCTTCACGCCTCTGTCCCCCACACGGACTCCGTCACCTTGCAGGGCTCTGGGCTCCCCTTCCTGACGCTTAGCAGCCTTGTTTTATTCTTCGAACGAGGATATAAATGCGCAACTATTGTGGGAATTTCGAAGTTTGTTCATAATTCCTGTACTTCTCATTTATGGAATGTTTCCTCCTTCCAAGGAAGCAGACCCTGAGATTGGTCATTGGGACCCATGTTACTTGCATGATCCCGGGTATTAAGACCCTCCATTACTGACCCTTTCTTCTTAAACCTGAAGAGACCAGGGCTGGAGAAATCACGACTTTTCCTGCTCATCACATTTCTAGTAGGGGTAGGAGTTTTAACACCCAGATTTCTGACCCTGATCTGGGGCTTTCTCTAATCCGGCTCAACCCTAGACTGGATTTGAGGGCACAGAGGTGAGAAATCAGCAAATCCTGATGTCCTGTGAGGCAACTGGCTCCATGTAAGACCCAGCTTTTGGTCCTGAATTCCCTCCTCTGGATATTTAATACTTTCCTGTTATGCCTGCCTGGGAGGAGGGGTGGGGGCAGGTGACCCTGTGGGGTGGGGGACCAGGTGTTTGCACTTTATCACCCACTCAGTGTTGGCTCAGACCTCACCAGGCTTCTGGGGCCTCGTGGCGGCCCTTTGGGGTCCCCTGAATTAAAGGGGCCGTTCTGGGCCAGTTTGTAAAGACATCGGGGTTTTCTCTCTGAAACATGGAGCCCATTGGCTCCCAAAGAAAGAACAGGTGGCGGAACCACAGGCAGAGGGCGTTGAGGTCGCTCGAATGAGCATGTGGTGGTTGATGCTCAGGGCCCAGGATCTCGTGGGGAAACCGCGTGCAGGCATGCTTACCATCGTGCGTGCATGAGAAATTCTAACGCCCCAGAGGGGCGTTAGCCTTGGGCCTTGCTAATTTGGTTCATTAGCTAATTAACTAATTATTTAATCAGTGATGCCTTGAAACGGAACTGCCCAGGTAATTTTCACATGTGTCTGAGTGTACTTTAGATGTTTTAGGGGGTTGAATGATGTAATGTATAAAAGAGTGTCGAGAAAATGCTATTTTCTTTTATTTTTCTTTATTTTAGAGATGGAGGGAGAGCAGGGGGAGGGGCAGATGGAGAGGGAGAGGGAATCTCAAGCAGACTCCACACTGAGCACAGAGCCCAACGCGGGGCTCCATCCCGTGATCCTGAGACTGCGGCTCAAGCCGAAATCAAGAGTCAGACGCCCAACCGACTGAGCCCCCCAAGCCCCCCAGTACCAGTTTCTCTTAGATGGATGCCTCTGCAAATGAGAGGAAGACCCTGATTGTGAGTGTGCTTTCTTACACGTGGGGAGTAAGTCAGGTGTGTGGATGCTGAGTACTTGCACACAACTCATGCAAGCGTGCGCAGATGTCCACACAAACACACAGACTCTCTCATACACACCCAGCCCATTCACACGCATACACACACAACACATGCTCACTTGCACAAGATACACATGCACACACAACACACTCGCACACCCACTCACACACACACACAACACACACACGCACACATCCTCACGCACACTCACACTTGGGAACTCTCGTGTACACACACACGCACACGCACGCACACGCACTCAGGAGCCAGGCTGGGAGCAAGCGCATGCGGCCGCCCCGGGGACTTTCTCAATGACATGTGCTCTTTGGGCTCAGCCAGCTCGGAGCTGTTTGAAGTCCTCAAGTGACAGCTTCCATCAGCTGTCCCATTCAAACTGCCACTCTTTCCAGGGAGTGTCCTGCCTCGTGGGCACAAGGACACATGGCCGGGGTTGGCGGAAAACGGGCCCCGTGGAATGGGGAGGAAGGAGACAGCAAGCAGGGGTTACTGCTGGTCAAGAGAAAATCCCAGTTTACCATTATAAATGTGCCCTTGCCCACCGTTCAACATGTCCTCAAAACCTTGCTGAATTTATATTTCAGAAACTTCTTCAGTTAATCTGTGGTCAGTCCCCTTCTGCACGAATCCTCGAGCCCGCTCTCTCTAAAGCTTAGAAGACCCCAGAACGGACCAGCCAGGGTCCACTCACCTTCGGGGTCTGCCGTCCTGATTTTACTATTTCGTGTCACACCAGCCCTAGGAACCGAGGAGACACAACAGATGGGAATGTTCTTTGCAGGAGGACCCGCTCTCGACCTTGGGACCTTGGGACCCCTGGTGGGCTTCCCTGTGGACAAAGTGAGGCCGGGCTTTGTCAGCTGGAAAGGACGTGCTCACATGCTGCAGCCCGAGAGTTTCTGCAGGTGAGCCACAGGGAGGCGGACGGAACCCTGTCAGGATGCACCTGGCATCTCCCTGACCACACAGAACACCTGACCGGGTCCCTGTTCCCCAGAAACATCAGCGGCAGGCGCTAGAAGTGGGAAGGGCCTGGTGTCTCCCCTGGGGCATCGAGGGGGAGGTGGGGCTGACACTGCCCTCCAGCCAGGCCGGGTCGGAGGCTCTGCATGCCGGCCACCTCCCTTTGCGGCCGTGTGGAGCTTGCCCCCGGGCTCTGCACGTTGGGCAGACAGTGGCGAAAGGAGCAACTGTCCCCAAGTGGAGGTGGCCCCGGGCGCCGGGGGAGTCCCCAGGAAGAGTCGGAACAACATTAACGGAACGTTCCCTGCGTGGAGGCATCCCAGGCAGGACACACAGACCTTCACGTGTGGGATTGCGCCTCACCCTCCCCAACCCCAGGAAGACTGGTGCCGCGGGGCCCTCTTTACAGACGAGGAAACTGAGGCCCGGAGCTTTAAGCCTTGGTCTGGGTGATGCACAGAGGAGGTGGTGGCCCCGGGGACTGGGCTCAGGCAGCCCCACACCGATGGTTCATTTTCTCCGCTCGGTCCTTCAGTGGAGCGCTGGTCTAGCCGGGTGTCCCCGTGGAGGCGCGAACCAAGGTCAGGAGCGCGTCGGCCAGGCTGGGTTCCAGGTGAGGCTCAGCACCCTCCTTCCACGTTCACGGGGAGGATGAGCGTGTCCCTGCCGGCAGCTGGGGGGCCTGGGTCACTGTGGGAACACTCTGGGTTTGGGGGGGGAGTCCTGGCTGGCCGGGCATAGGGAGTGGCTGTGCCTGGGACAGGGACCGGGAGGGAAGGGCAGACACTCACCCAGTGTGGGGTGTAGAACAAAGCCACCAGTGAGGGCCCAGCGGTGGCTGGAGAGGGGACAGGGCAGGGGAGGAGATGGAGCCCCAGGGACTGTCTCAGTGTGGGGCAGGCAGAGGGAGACAAGAGCGGAGGCCATGGTGGTAAGGGCCCCCGGGGCCCCCGGGTCAGGGAGCCGAGAGGCCCTCTCAGGAAAGGGGGCCAGGGAGGGCCCGCGGGAGTGCCGCAGAGGTGGGGGTGCGGGCAGGCTGCAGACACCTGCGCTCTGGGAGATTCGGGCACCATTGAGCCTATTCCCGTGCGGGGACTGGCGCTCCCCTGTTGTCTTGGGGGCTGTCTCCCCAGGTCTGTCCTGCTGGCGCGTGTGAGCCCGAGTGAGGCGTGGCCGTGTTCCACCTGTGTCTCCGGCACCTGACCCGAAGCAGGTGCTAACAAGCGTCAAGCACCTTTCAGGAGATGGCGTGGCGAAGCAGAAGGACTTGTTAGGATTCCTTCCACCCCAGAAGGGGCAGCCCTGTCCCAGGAAGGTCTGCTTTCCGTGAGGTCCAAGAGGGAGGGGAGAGAGGGAGATGGGGCGGCAGTGGGCAGAATGGCTGAGCAGTCTTGCAGAGGCGAGGGGTTCCGGGAGCAAGGGCTCGCGGTTGGGAAAGGTGCCCGTGGAGCTGGGGAGAGGAGGTAGAGATTCTCAATCAGCACGTTGAAGTCACGGTCCCCAGGGTCACCGAGTCGCCAGCGCCACTCGGGGTGGTGAGGGTCTCTCGGGTGACGTCCCTCACCCCCGCGGAGCACCGACAGCATGGTGTGTCCGCAGCAAGACTGAGATCTGCGATCTGTCCCTGGGACCGATGGAAAACAGATGAGTGTGTTTATTGGGAAGATTCCATTTCTGGCATTTGTCAAGTGCTGCAAGTCCGTCAGACATTGCACAAACAGGAACCGCGTGGACGGGCGTGCGGTTGGCCGGGGGGCGCCTGGCTAAGGTGGGAAGGACGGCCGCAGCCCCACACCATTGCTGTGTCGCCCCACGGGCCGCCTGGTGAACGCACCGCATGCTGGGGACAGCGCCAGGCTGAGCACACGCGACCCGGCCCACTTCTCATCCTGCGAGCGGGGAGGACGAGCCACGGAGAATTTGTGGCCCCACCTGGGAGATGCCCGAGAGGGAGGCCGCACACTGCCACGCAGAGCTATTTCCAACTTCACTCCATCCTACAGACATCTCTGGTCGTGCACTGCGTTCAAGTGACAGAGGACGCTCCTCTGGGGGACACGGCAATCCTCGACACCCCCGCAACTCCCTGACTTGGGCGGTTGGAGCCTTGGCCGTGACTTTCCCCTCATTCTTCCAATTTATTTAGCAGGACAAAGGCCAAAACAAAGCTCAATCTTCACGGTGTTTTGTTTAAAAGGGAAAAAAAGCATTTTGTGGTTTGCATTCTTAGACAAATCTCTCTTTAAAGAGTTCTCCGGCTTTGTGCATTTGGGCAGGGGCGCCGTTTGGGTCTCCTCTCCCCCGGATGGTGACGCCTGGGTGCCGGGCAGAGCCTAGAGCTCCCGATGCTCGTATCTGTCTCGGAAGCTTGAAAACCTAGCTAGTGGCTCCTCCTGCCAAAGGACCGCAGTCACAGGTTGTCCCCACAAATGGATCCATCCTCGTTTCGGGGTGTTGTGCGTGCTCTGCAATCGGAGGAGAGTCCAGCCGCTTCGCAGCAGGTGCGGCCGTGGGCGTGGGGGCCGCTGAGCTGTGTGTGTCTGCTGGGGACGCAGCCCTCCTCCCTGCAAGGCTCTGGAGCCTGGGGCTCCGCTCCCCCCACATCAGCCTCGCTGGGGCTTTCCGAGTCTCTGCCGCCGCAGACTCGGCAGCCAACGCCCCTCTGGCCATCTTCCTCCCGCCTGGCGCCACATTGGCCTGTCTGCTCTGAGCTCCGAGGTGGCAGCCCCAGTCTGTGACCCAGGAGCCCCACTGACTGGCCTCGTGTCTCTGGCTCAGGGGACCCTGCTGTGCAAAGGTCACTGTGCTACTCATGAGGTCACTACTCTTTCCAGCGCCCACGGCTGCACCACGTCTGGTGGGCGGGTGTCAGGAAGGGCGCATTATTCGTGCCTTCTGCGAGCCGAGGGTCCAGCCAGAGAGGCTCCCACCTGAATGTAGTGTTGGGGTAAACGTACCTGGGGGCATGGAGGGAGGGTGGCCGCCCTTTCTGGGGATCTGGGGGAAGGGGCAGAGCTTGTAGGGGCAGGAAGGTCATCTGGGCGTCTACTGGACTCTCTCCCCGCTCTTCCATGTTTCCGGGTGTTTCCTCTGCCCTCACGGTGCTCACGGCTTTCCCTCCCCCGAGCAGCTCCCCTGAATGAGGGACCCAGAACCCCCGCCCCTCGCTAATGTCCAGCCGCCCTTCCTTGACATGAGGACTGGGGTTGCTTCTCCTGGGGACGGTAGCTTTGCTCCCTCTCTTTGGCCTGGGCCGGGAAGCTCGCTCCCATCACTTGGTGACGGCATGCAGCCCGAATCGCAGGACCAGGTGCCCGCATCTCTGTCTGCCGTGGCAACATCTGCTCACTCCCCCAGGTCCACCCCCTGCTCTGGGACGGTCGTGCCCAGAGTCTCATGCTCCATTTTACGTAGAATTTTGTTCCTAAATCCACTAACAATAACCATGACCTTGTGCTCCCTACAAACACGATTTGTACGAACGGGTGAAAGCGTTATGGCGCGTCCCCCGAGGGGTGTCCCAGAGGCAGGCGGAGCTCCCAGGGAGGTGCACCAGTGTGGGAATCAGGGCGGGCTGGTGCAGGGGTTCGGGCCATCAAGGCGTGGTGGGATCTGGGACCGGGGCTGGCGGCTCCATGTCAGCCCCTGCATGTGCGTGATGTTGGGAGACCTGGGTGTCAGGGGTCGCCCGAACCAAGCAGGGAGCTGTAATACCATCCTACGGCCGCAGCTCCTGCATGCCGACCGCTCCCAAGGACTTTCTGTCCGTTGACTTCGTTACTGTCAAGCCCGAGGTAGGTGAGCCAGCAGGTGGAGGACATGGGACTTGGACCCAGGATGACTCTATCCAAGAAGGTGGCCGAGGGGTGTGTGGGACACCGTGTGCTGCTGTAGCTGGGAGAACGGGGTCACCTTGAGCACAAACGGGCTCCCAGTGTTCACGGCACTGAGCAAAGACCACGTGATGGGCCGCGGGCCTGGGTCACGGGTCCAACAACCCCAGATCGTGCTTACAGAAGTACGTTTATTTAAGAGCAAAGTCATGTTGCGTGGTGAGTGCAAGACGTCGATCGTACTAGAGGCCAGGATATGGGGACATTTCAAGAGGTCGGCAGGGTAAAAATTGTATTAGCAAAGGGGGCCAAAAGAAATAGTAAAAAAGGGGGCGCCTGGGTGGCTCAGTCAGTTAAACATCTGACTCTTGATTTCGGCTCAGGTCATGATCTCAAGGTCGTGAGATTGAGCCCCGTGTCGGGGTCCATGCTCAGCTCAGAGTCTCCTTAGGATTCTCTCTCTCCCTCTCCCTTTGTTCCTCTTTCTGTGCATGCTCTCTCTCATATAAATAAATGAATAAGTTCTAAAAAAATGATAGTAAAAAAAACATAAAAATGGGTTCAAAGAACTAACTTTGAATAAGAGCCCTGGAGAAACCGAGTTCTCAGTGCAGGTGGGTCTGGGGAGGGGCTGGTGCTTGGCCAAGGACGGTGACCATTTGTAATCTCTAGTAAACCCTCCCAGAGGGCCCCGATTTAGCAGTATTTTTTTTAACTTTAGAATTTCACCAGTGAACCCCATCCCCAACTGGGGGCACTTTTCTTAAAACTGGCTTGTAAATCTCAGTCCTTTTGAAGACGGGGCATGTGGACACATGAGGCCCCACCGTTGGACATTAAGGTGACTTTTAGAAAGGTTGTGGCAGTCGCCCCCTCGCGCACCCCACACGGAAAGTGGGTGTCGGTCGGATGGATTCCAGGGAGCTGAGTCAGAGTTAAAGGTAGCACACTTCTGGATGGGTCGTCCCATTCGTTCTTCTGAAAGGTTTGATAATTTCCACTTGAACCAACGTGTGTAAAATCGCATGCATCCTCACCGTGGACGAATATCATCAGTCACTTAAATTTTTGTATATCTGCGGGAAAAAAAGAAGCTCAGTTTTTATCTTAATCTGTGTGTTCCTAATTGCGGGTGAGATGGAGTTTACAAGCTTGATGTGTATTTGCCTCCATGTGCATTTCTTCTTCCAAGAACTGCTTGTTTGTACCCTGTGTCCATTTTCTTTTCTTTTTTATTTTTTAAAGATTTTATTTATTTATTTGAGAGAGGGAACACAAGCAGGGCGAGGGGCAGAGGGAGAAGCAGACTCTCCGGTGAGCAGGGAGCCCGATGCGGGGCTCGATCCCAGGACCCTGGGATCATGACCTGAGCCGAAGGCAGACGCTTAATGACTGAGCCCCCCGGACGCCCCCTGTGCCCATTTTCTATTGAACTGTTTGTATTTGTTTCTTACTGATCGATAGCTTACCTTTATTCTGGAAATCGGGGAGATTTAGGTGTGCTGCTTCCTAAAGCTTATAAGATCTGGAAGAAAAATAACACAAAACTAGATAAGGATGTGACCGTGTACCACCAGCCCCCTGTCGCGGCCTTGGCATGAACAGTGAGTGGTCCCGGCGTGGGAGCCGCTGAGGGAGCTTCGTGATGAACTGACTCTTCTCGAACTCACCCCTTTGTGATGTCTGCAGCAAATATGGTCATTGTAAGGACATTTTAGTTTTTGTGTTTGCACATCTGTCCATCATCACGGCTGGTCTCCTGTTTTCTGGGGCTGTGGCTTCCGTCCTTCTTGGGTCTCGTGGGTTTCGTGGGCACCACGGTGCCCGGCCGGCCTCCGTGCCCACACCCGCTGACTCTGCGTGGGAGGAACGGTCGTGGGCTGTGGTGCCGGGGGGAGCCTGCAGAGATGATGTCGTTCCTCCTCTGCACGCAGGTGTCCCATCCCCAGCCATCGACACTGCCCCCTGTGCGTGGACACAGGGTCTCCGGAGCTAGAATGCTCCATGCCCCGCTCTGCCCGGGGGTTGGCTGTGGTCTCCCCGGGCTTGTTTCTCAGAGATGTGTTTGCTGATTGTCTCCTAGGAGTCCTGTAAATGTTTTGCTTGGCTCAAGGCTCTGGCTTTTATTTTCCGGTACTGCTATAGATTTTGAAAAGTACTTGTGTGTTGTCATGCGGAGGGCGGCAGGGCGTTTCAGATCGTCCCTGGAGCCAGCCTTGTCTGCACGGGACTCCCTCGTGCGCAGATCAGGTGTGCGTCTGGAGGAGCGGGTGGTGTGTAAGTGTGCAAACCTGTGACTTCAAAACGTTTTTACCGTGAAGCACTGTTCGTATTTTTATAAGACATCTCTCCTGCACCCCTGTGGTCACAAGCAGGACTGAAATCACGGCGTCCCGGGCCCCACGCGCCCCCCAGGCAGGTGCTTCCCCGCGTGCCCGTCCCCACGTTCTCCCCTCTTCTGTCTCCTTTTTTCGTTTCATCTCAAAATGCTGGTGACAACCCATGGCACGGATTTGCAGCTCCCTCATGGGTGCAGCTGGGCCCCGGGGGAGGACATGCCTGCGCCCGGTCCCCAGCCCCGTCCCCAGCCCCGTCCCCGACCCTCCAGCCCCACAGTCGCGCCCCTCCCGGCACCAGGGGAGGCCTCTCTCTCTTCTCACCAGTAATAAGCAGTTTTAAAAAGAGTGGCTTTTCTTCTCTTTTTTTTTTTTTCTGTAATGCAAATTTCCCAAGTGCAGAGCTTGGCTGTCCAGACAAGTTTCCCACGGGCTGAGGGGTGAGGGCACCAGCCCTGATGCTGAGGGACAGCAGGTGGCGGGAGGCACAGACCCAGGTGGGAAGCTCATGGTGTCGCTGGGCTTCATGGTGTCCGTGGAAGCAGAGACCCCTAGACGAGGGAGTGCCGGAGGCTGGGGACCAGTGAGCCCA